CTGGGGGTACAACACCTAACAATCGAGGGGGATTTCAAAGTGGTGGTGGGTTGGTTGAAAAATCCTGAAGAGGCTATGTGGCATTACAAGAATGAAATGAAGAAATTTAGTTGGTTGACAAGGAATATGTTGGTCACTGTACAATGGGTGGGGAGATCAGCAAATACTTTGTCAGATGTGTTAGTTAAGCAAGGGGTAAATAGGGAAGAATTGTTTTGGGCTCAATTGTGATTCTTGTTTTTCTTTCATAGTTTACTTGTAAGATTCAAGGAGGGGCTGCAGCTCGCGCCTCTCCCTGGGATGTTGAATGAACTCACTCTAAATCTGCTTCTGAATTAATAAATTTATTATCATTCATCAAAAAAATATATATTTTGGTAACTTAAAATAAAAGCTTCTCGTAAAACTCACATCCATTCAAAGATATATATTATAATTCCTAGAAGGAAGGTTTCTTAAAAATTCCCCACAAGAAAGAGTTAGAGTTGATGAAATTACTTTGTCTTAGTCAACTAGGAAAAAAAAACTATTTCCAAAAGAAGAATCAACACTATAAAGGAAAAGCATAAAAGCGATTATTGGAGGCAATAACAAAAACATAATCATATTGCCCACCAAAAATGTTAAAAATGAAAAATAGAAAACTGAAAAACAAAAACTTGGCATATTGACAATTGACATGTGAGGCAGACAGTCAGTCCATAGCAAATCAAGCCAAATTTGGGAGCAATACATGGAAACATAAATAAAAGATATTAATAGCTATTACATAATTCCTTCAACAATACAGATACTCACCCAGATAATGAACTCTGGACCTTATTCCCTTACTTGTAGCTTCTGAATCTTTATGACAGTAATCAGCTTTTATATGTGAAGAAAGATGGAAATCTTGGAGTAAATTATATACAAGACAAACCCTCAAATAATGCTCCAAAAAATGTAATAAATAATCCACAGTCATACAAATCCTGAAGGAAATACAGCCTTCTGACAAAAGCCTTATAGCTATCACGCAAACCACAAAGCCACCAATGAGTCCTAAGACCTGCACTTATACCATGAAACAAAGGTGATGGTTATGTACATACTACTCAATGCTGAATATAGAAGTAAAAAATAAAAAACTTATGTATATTGTCAGAAGAGAGAAGGTAACAGAAGAAAGTTGAAACACTTCTGCACAAGCAAAATCTACACAGGAATCCAATTGAAACCTATACAAATAGAATGGGCGCAACAAAATCAAATTCAGCAACATTGAAAAGCATAGTTTACCACCAAATCAAACCAGAAACTAATCCAGGATTGTTGATAAGAAAGATGTTCAACGAAAAAGGAAATAAAACTGCAAACTACATATGGCATTTATTGCCTTGCAAATCCCAAAAAGGAAGCACATAAAGTATCAGAACCTTCGGAGTTATCACAGACCCGCCAGTTTCAATCACTTTATTTCAAGCAAAATATTATAAAGCATAATTAAGAAATTAGCATTGAAAAGATACCAAAGAAACCATACAATTTTCAGAAGCAAATATCGAAATTCATTTACCTTTTAGATAGAAAAAATTAGAAGTTTTTTTTTCTGTTTTTTTTTTTTTGAGAGAGAGAGGGAGAGAGCTGGAAGTTTATGAAGAAACACTCATAGAAAAAATTCCTTCTTGACAAAGCTTTGAAATCGGATACATCGAGGCAGGATATAAACTGATCCTTTTAAGGATAAATCTTTTGAACCCAATCAAGATACCATTTCCTTCCGAACAACAAAAAAAAAAGAACCCAAATCGAAATCCAAACCCTAACCCTAACCGTAACCAGATACCCAATAATTCTATACGATAAAGAAACTAAAAAGTTCCAAGTTCTAAAGGTTCTCTGTTAATCCAGAAAAATCCAAAAAGATACAGATCATAATCTAAAACAAGTCTCAGGGGGAAAAATTCATTTATTACTTATAACATCAGGAGCAGATTACATGATAAATCGAGAAAGAAAAGGACCCACAACGAAATAAATCGATCAATCAATTAATCAATCGGACCTTCATATAACCCATAAAAATTTGAGATAGAAGAAGAAGAAGAAGAAGAAAAAGAAAGGTATGGATTTTACAGTAGTGAAATCGGTGGTGCAGAATCCTACTCCCTTTGTTTGTCGTCTGTGTTGCTTGTTTTAATAAGTAGTCTTATTGTTTCCTGGTTCTGTTTTCTTCCAGTTCTGGTTTGGTTAGGAAAAGGATGAAAACAAAAGGAAAATTGTGAGGAAGGAAGGTCACATTCACATTCCCATCGGAATTCTGAAAGACTTTATATATACTCCC